GTCAGTGGGAAGGATGATCCAGGAACCATTGGCCTGGCAGCCTGAGCTTGCTACCGTGGAAGGCCTTGGGAGCAGATCCTGCTGAGTGCCATGCCACGGCATGTGCAGGGAACCAGGGGCTCTGCTGGAGGGTGGGAAAGCTCTGTGGAGGGATGGGAACAGCTGGGGGTCCTGGTGGGGTGTTGAGGAGTTCTGTGAGCATGTTTTGGGGGGTGTTGGTATTGGTGGGTGTGTTGGGGAAGGAGTTGCCTGGAAGTGAGAGGTCTAGGCTGGAATTTGAGTCAGTTTAACAGCATCATCCGTGGTTTAGCACAGCCTTGCTTATAGAGGACATAAGGAATATGTGTGACTTTTCCTGTTAGTGGTCCTGGTTCTCATGCAAAAAAGAAGAGGGGAGAGCTGAAATTTATTGGCCACCTAGATATCTGTACCAGGGGGAGGATTAGCCTTTTTGCAATCAACTCAATTGTTTGGACTACTTTTGTAATACTGAGTGGACTTTGTTTCCTTGAGAGCTTTAATCCTTCAGAGAATTAGGATATTATCATCCCTCCATAGAAAAGCAAAGGTTTGCAAACCAAAGAATGGCCTTTTTTTAGCCTCTGTGCAGTGTTATATTTTGTAATGTGACTCTCAAAGGATGATGTTAAGGCAAAGGACTTGCTGCTTTGAGATGGGAAGCAAACTTGCACATCTTTCACATTCTCCGGCCACTCCAATTAATTGGTGAAGTCTGCCAGATCCTTCTGTGCCTTCCCAACAAAGATGTTTTTTGAGGTGCATGAAATGACTTCAATGGGAAAATAATTCCAATTAATGTAATTAATCTGACCAAGACTAAGAGTTGCCAGCAGTTGTTCCAAATGTTCCTGCCAAGACCCCTGCAGGAAGGAGCCCAGCCCCCAATGCACGTGGGCTTTGGCTTTGGCCCTCTGGCACAGAAACCCCCCAGGGGCACAGGTCTCTGGGGCAGGAGAAGGGCACCAGCACTGCCAGGGCTCGGCTGGGGTGGCAGGTCTGCCTCGGTGGGGACTCTGCCACACCTGCTGATTTCAGTGCTGCCAGGCCCCTGTACAGATTCTGTGCAAGGCCCCGTGCCCTTCCTGCTGCGCCTGCGTCGGCAGCCCTGGGGGCTCCTTCTGCTGCCCTGAGCCTGCAGAGCAGGGCAGCGTTTGCTGATGGTTTGAGGTGTTCCTAAAGATCCTGTCAGGCTGTCTTAGACACTTTGGGCAAGGGATTCCTTCCAACCTGGGCCACTTTGGGGGGATGGGGGCGGAACCGGGGCAGGTGGCAGTGTGTGCAAGGGCCCTTTGTGACACAGTGCAGAAAGGTAACCGTGGAATGGAAAGGGACAGGATGTCCAAGGGCCCTTTGTGACACATGGTGACATAGGGGCTGTCCCAGTGAGGTGACAGGGCCATGCCCCAGTGCTCAGTGCATGCGACGGGACAGGACGCGCCGGAGCGGTGCTGTGAGGAGCCCCTGCGGAGTGCACTCGTTCCTTGCTGACCCGGAGTTTTTTCTTTACCTTATTGGTGCAGGTTACCTCGAGGCCAGACCACAGGGCTTGGTGACCTGTGGCCTCCTCAGGAGTTTTTTTCTGCAGGTGTCCTCGAGGGCAGGCCTGGGACTTGGTGACTCGGAGTTTTTCTGAGGCATCTCTTTCCTGTGGCCGGTGCCCTTGAGGCCAGACTGTCAGACTTGTCAACTGAGAGCTCTTCCAAGGCCTCTCTCTTGCAGGTGCCCTCAACGCCAGATTTTGGGATGGCAGAGAAACGTCAAGGGAACTCCAACCTGTTCAGGGCGAAGAAGAACAAAGCTTCTTCACCTGCCCCAGCAAAGAAGCCTAATGCAGCGCCACAGTTCCAGCCACCACAAGATGGTGAGCCATGCCATGCCATCCCATCCCCTGTGGACATGCCCAAGGACAGGACGGAATAGGGGCCAAGGCTGTCCCCCAACAGTGGCCGTGCACCATCCCCTGAGCCACCCCAGGGCTGTCCCTGCCTGGGGAGTGCAGGGCTGGGCTGTGTTCTCCGGCCTCTCCCGCAGCCCCTTGGCTCTGGCTGCACTCAGTCTTTGCCAAATGCAGGAAAGAAGCGGAAGCAAGAGCAGGACTCCGACAACGGATGCTTCCGCAGAACACTGAAGGTACCTGCAGCCATCCCCACCTGGGCTGGGCCTGCTGTCACTGCTCAGCCCAGCTCTGCACATGGAGCACTCTGTGGAACATGCCTCTCTTCCCTGCTTTTCTGTCAATGTTTCCAAAGTTCATGGGTGGTTGTTGTAGAAAGAACAAAGACACCAAGGACGCAGACAAACGTGATTCCAGGCTAAGAGATGCTGGCATACCATCAGTTGAATGTGCAGAAATGACTAATTACATAGTGAAGGCTGACCAGGTAACAAATGAGGCCAATTCAGACACCTGAATGACTGCACTGATACTATCCCCACTTTAACTGTCATTTATGCTCACAATTTATAATTCACATATACACATATTTCTTATCAAAAGTAATAAGCAGCCAGTGCACATGGCTGGAGGCCTCCCAGGATCATGCGGCCCATCCAGGCATGTCTGCTTGCCCACCTCAGCCTTTTCCCAGAGTTGGGGGGAAGGGAAGCACTTCTTGGGGGAAGCTGGGTAATCTCCTCCCTCAGAGAGCACTCCCAAGTTTTCCCCATGCCTCATCCAGGTGCCAGCCATGGTGAGGATCATGCATGAGAGACTTGCGTCCCCTGTGACTGCCGATGTCAGGCTATTAATGAACATTCTGAGGATAGCTGATGAACACCCTGCTGGTACAGTGCTGACCCTCCTGCGCTGTGCTCCAACATGTGACAGGTATGGGGCCCACGTGCCTTGAGAGCTCAGGGCTCAGCGGCCTTTAGGGCCCATCGCCCTGCACAGCCTGTCCAATGGGCTCTGCCCAACAGGCAGAGAGGCCCAGGAGCCTCGGGCCCCTCTGTTTCCTGAGGCTGCTGCCAGTGCTCCCTCCCTGCCCCTCAGGGCACTGGGGCTCTGTCACCTGGGACCCCACAGCTACACAGGGCATGGCTCTGTGACTGAGACACCCCTAACAAACAGCTCTGATCCCACAGAGCTGCCACAATGATGTGGAGAACTATAGCTTCGTCAAGTCCCACAGTAGAGAAGGTCCTGCCAACACTGCTCTGTGTGATGGAGGATTGGCCTCTGCACAGCATGTTCACCTCTGATGGAGACGACACGGGTGTCTTTGCCCTGGCTGTGAGTTTCTGGGACTGGCCTTTGCTCTCCCCTAGGTCACCTCTCCAGCAGCTCTTCATCCTCTCCTTGCCTCAGGCACTGGGCTGAAACCTGGGCTAGGGGCAGGCTCAGGGGGCACCGGGCCCACTGCTCCCCCTGCATCTCCCCTCGGGCCCTGCCCCATGGACGCCTTAGCACTGAGCGCTGTCTTGGTGTGATTGTTTTGCAGGCAACTCTGGTGGTCTGGGTGATTATCCAGGTGCCCAAGTGCCACGAGGCAATGCACATTTATGCCTCCCACCTGCTTGTGGCTCTGATAGTTCAGATTTTTGACAGCACAGTGCATAGTAATGAGGAGGTTGACAACTTTTGGACACAATGCCAGGAAGAACATGACCTTCACACAAACCCCAGCAGGTGCTCCCTCCCAATCCTTCTGTCCCTCCCATGTCCCCAGGGCAGGAGCCAGAGATCACAGCATGACCTGGGCTTTGCTCTGCACACAGGTTTGCAGTGCAGACCATGAAGGCCCTGTTCTGCCGACTGCGGTGTGAAAATGTGGTCATGGAAATGGGACGCAAGTGTGGCTGGGATACGCTGGTCTGTGCTGACACCCAGCACTATGCTGTGGGTCTGCTGGCCAGGTGAGAGCCCCTTCCCCCTACTGCCCTCAGCATTTGTGCCCTGTGCCTGGGGTGCCTCACATGGTCCCTGTGGTCCTGGACCAGATGGCCTTGTCACTGAGGGATGGCTGAGAAGACTGGAAAAGGCTGAGAGAGGAGGGTGCCCAGAAGAAGCCACCTCCCAAAGTGCCCACGGTTGCTCCAGGGTGGTGGGAAAAGACCTTTGTGTGATCTTTGTGTGCCAGTCCTGGGAGAAGTTTGCCCCTTCCGCTTCATGGTCTTAGTGCCCTTTTCCTCCTGCCCAGGGAGATGCACCGTGACTTGATCCCCTTGTGTTCCCGCATGGCATGCCATCTGCTTGGGCTGCTCAGCACATCTGGGCATCGCTGCGATCTGCCTCCCTGGCATTCCTTGTGGAGGTGAGCCCCATGGCCAGCACTACCTCGCTGAGCTGCCTGCCAGCCCTGTCCCCTTGCATAGCCACAGCTGCCTGGGACGGTGCCCGCGCCCTGTGCTGCTGCCTGGGCCCAGCCCTGTGCAGTTCCAGGCTCCTGCCAGCCGGCTCCTCTGTCACTGCCCTGTGCCTTTCAGGTCCTGGATTGCCTGGATTTGAGTGAATGTAGTGACAGTGTTCTGGAGATAATGTCAAGGTACCTGCGGAATGAGTGCAGGGAGAGGTGTCGCCTGGCGCTCAAAGGCCTCGTGGTGCTCATCAGGGATCCCTCCACGGTGAGAATGGGGCAGCGGCTGAAGCTGTGCTGGGCAAAGCAGCCCCTTGGGCTGGCTGGGCTTCAGGAGCTGAGGCAGCTGCTCCCAGCTCTCCTGCCTCACCTGCCTCAGTGCTTTGGGACAGGCCTTTGGCCTCTGGGCCCGGCAGCAGCAGGGTGGGGTTGCAGTGCCAGGGCGGTTTTGGCGCTGCAGCCATTCAGGGCTTCCCAACACAGCCTTGTGTTCCAAACAGGCAAGAAGAATAGGAATCCTGTCTCAACGGCTTGTGTATGTGCTGGGTGATGCAGATGGAGAGGTGGTCAGGATGTCCCTCTGTGTCTTCACAAATGTTCTCCAGCACAAGGATATCCTGATATCCAGCACCACCGCCCCAAATCTGGCTGAAGCACTCCTGCTTCTTTTTGACCATGTAAGGCTTTGTGCCCCCAGCCACGGGCATTGGCTGCTGGCCAGAAACTTTGTGCCCTGTGGATTTTAAGCTTTTGCACAGGTGGGCTGGAGAAGTTGGTGCTGAGGTATTTTCCACTTCCTTTCCTCCAGGACAACAGCCATGTGCAGTTGCTTTCTATTCAGCTTTTTCAAAAGATGATGGACTTGGTAGTAGATGAGGGAAAAAAGCCCCTGAGGAGAACTGCGAGCCAGAGCCTGCTCCCACTCTTCTTGCACTGCCATGAGGAGAACCAGCACGTGGCAAAGGTGAGGAGGAGGCTCGGCTTCCTCCTGCCCTCGAACCTCCCAGGCTGCGGCCTCTTCCAGACCTTGGCACAGGGATGTGAGTCCTGTGCTCTATGCTGTGATGACATCTTCCACCTTTCCTGCTCTCCAGGCCTCTCAGGAAACATTGCTTTGTGCAACTGGGTTCCTTAAGAAGAGGAGTCTGAAGAAGTTGGTTAAGAGTGAGAAGCTGTCAAAGTTTGGCAAATGCCTGGTAAGGACAGCCTGGAGAAGCTCCCTGCCCCCAGGGCTCAGTGTGTGGGGCTGGCAGCTGTGGCCCAGTGCTGCACCCATGGGAGCCAGCCTGTGCCCCACACACCGCTCCCTTCCCTGGGCTGCACGGCTTCTTCTCCAGGCTCCTGTGTCCCCGAGCCGGGTGCCGATGGAGCCCCAGCCCTGTGGGGCTGCGGGCCTGGGGGGCAGCGCGGCTCCCCGGGCAGCAGCCGGCCCTCTGCCCCCTCCAGAGCCCCAGCCCAGTGGCTGCTGCCCGGTGCCTCAGGGCTGGGCGGGCACGG